CTGATTACCTTTCCTCTCATAGAAAGACACCCCCTCCAGCCCCACATCCTCTTACCCCACTTCCCATGGCCCAGGGCTCTATTAAACACAAACTTCTGCCAAATGCCTTTGGCCCCCAACAGTAAGGGAAAAAATTCAGGTGAAAAATGAAGAAATTGACATACTTTTTTTTTTTTTTTCCAGACTGGGTTTCTCTATGTAACAGTCCTGGCTGTACTGGAACTCGATTTGTAGACCAGGCTGGCCTTGAACTCACAGAGATCCGCCTGTCTCTGCCTCCCACGTGCTGGGATTAAAGGCGTGCGTCACCACTGCCCAGCTGACAGACATTCTTTACTGTAACTTTTTCCAGTGCTGGAGATGGGACCTTTTGATTGATCTACCTGACATCCTACAATTCTTTTGGGTTTTGTCTGTTTTTCAGACAGGGTCTCACCTTGTAGCCCTGGTCAGTCTGGAGCTCACTATGTAGACTAGGCTGTGGCCATACACTCAAAGATCCACCTGCTTCAGCCTACAGAGTGCTGGGATTAAAGGTATGTGCCACCATGCCAGGCATAGCCCTAAAAATCTTAAAGAGGTTTACAACAAACTAGACATCTTTCAAAGAGCTGTGTTCACCCTCAGATTTTTTTTTTTTTACACTGTGTCATTTAATGCAAATAATGTGTACCACAGCACTTTTTAGGACTGAGAATTCTTGGTACAGCAGCCCTAAAACCAATAACATGGGTTCTCTCAATCCCCAGGTCCCTTCCTGCAAGGACACTCCCTTCCCTGCCAAACATTGCTCTTCTCACCTACTTCTCAGAACCCAGTTTAAAAAGAGACAGGGCTTGCTGGGTGGTGTTGGTACACCCCTTTAAGGCCAGCACTTGGGAGGCAGAGGAGGGTGGACAGATCTTCGTGAGTTCGAGGCCAGCCTGGTCTACAGAGCTAGTTCCAGGACAGCCAAGTCTACACAGAGAAACACTGGGGGTGGGGAGCTGAGCACAGTGGTTCATGTCTGTAATCTTAGCATGAGTGTGTGTGTGGTAAGGGGTGGAAACAAGGCTGGAGGATTGCTGTCAGTTTAGGGCATTTTGTACTATAGAGATCCTACCAATAAACTAATTGAATAATTTAAAAAGTGGGATACAGAGCAACTCGGGAAACATGAGCAAGACCAACAACTCCTGCCGGGCGTTGGTGGCGCACGCCTTTAATCCCAGCACTCAGAAGGCAGAGGCAGTTGGATCTCTGTAAATTCGAGGCCAGTCTGATCTCCACAGCGAGTGCCAGGATAGTCTCCAAAGATACACAGAGAAACCGTCTCGAAAACAAAAAAAAAAAAAAAAAAAAAAAAAGGCCAACAACTCCAAATGACCCTTAGAAAATTCCAGTACACACACACACAGCAAAACCTAATTTGGAACAGACAGAAAGTCAAGGCCACCAAGTGACTTTCAGAATCGCACCCTCAAAACCTGAAATAGGAAAGTGGCAAACAGTTCCGGGGACTGTGGCACTGGTATGTTAGTGAAATACACCCCAGACTAAGTTAAATTTTTAAGGCTTTCAATGGAAGAGTATCTCATTACGTGTAGAATTTTTAGGCAGAGTAAGTTGCCCCTAAATTAGATCACCATCAGGCTTTCATAAAACGTAAATCTATGCTCAGGCCATGGATGAGCCAAGAGTAGTGATGGGTGCCTTTAACCCCAGCACTCTGCAAGCTGAGGCAGGTGGATCTCTGAGTTCAGGACAGCCTGATCTACATAGTGAGTTCCAGGACAGCCAGGGCTATGTAGAGAGACCCTGTCTCTAAAACACAAAAGAAAAAAAATAAAAAACACCACCTGTCCAATTATTGCCTCTGAGATCTTTTTTCTCTCAGGCATGACAAAGATGTCCAGGTAAAGGGTAGTATGGGGGAAAGGGAGGCTGTAGACCTCTCTTCAAATAGCACCAACAAAATGAATAACCACCAGCAGTAAGTGTCCCTCTACTTGGCTATGGTCAGACTCAAATGAAAGAGTCCACCTGTTTCCAATTAGATACCAGAATTGCTGGAGTATTTAAACTACATTTGCTTGCTACTTACACAAAACAAGTCTTCCAGATTTTTTGAATGGTTAAAATATGTTAAAATAAGATTAAGGGTCTGGTTTAAACAATCAGAGGCAGGGGAATTTCAACTGAAACCAAAACCATCTCTGTGTGGCAGCAATAACCCAGAGCTTCAGACAAAACAAAAAGACGACGTAGACACATTTCTGCCGCCGACAATGACTAATAAAAATCAGACTTTTCTTGGGAACGGCATTTATACTTTAAAGCTACGTATTAAATTTCAAATAAATTTATAATAATTCCTATAGTCACTTACGATTCTATATAGCAGAATAACTTACTACAATAACTTGACAGGGCATTCATGTTATGGCCCAGCAAGATACGTGAAATTTTCGGAAACTATAAAAGGAAACAAGGGCAAGTACAAAGATTTTTCATTTGGTAAAATTTCTCCTAAAGCAATATACAAATTTCCCCCTAACAGATCTATCCTTCCTTCATTTCACTATGGAATAGAGATGTAGGTCTTCTCTCTGGCCTTGTTTTTCCTACAATCTCAGGAAAAGCCTTGGCCATCAATGAAAAACTCCCACACTCACTGATAGTTTTCTCTTCCTTGACTATCAAGAGAGAAAAGACTTGTGAAACTATTAAATGCCTTGGACTCAGTGGGGGTGAGCAGAAGGCAGGTCCACTCGGTGGACTAGGAGAGAAAGTTCTTGGGTGGACAGAGCTGTTTATTCCTCTTCCCTACTTAGACCTGAGTATTGACAGAAGGCACAGGCCAAAGGGCTTCAGGGCACCCAACCACCTCAAGAGCTACTACTGCATTATTCATCCTTGCACTGACTGTGCCTTTCAAAACGTGGGGGGGGGGGGGGGGGCGCT